ATACAAAGTTACTCCTACTGATAAAACATCAGATATTATATTCAAGTTTACTTAATTTCTTATTCCAAATTATTTTCATAATTAGAGAAATTATTAAAGGAAAAATAAATTCTGGATTTTTTTTTTAATTCAATTAACTACAATTTAAGCTGATCATTATCTAATTTAAGGGGATTATGAAGAAAGATATTGAAGTAATCAAATTAAAAACTAAATTTCTTCTATATTGCTAAGGCAAACAGCTTGGGATTCTTCCTTTTTTAGTAAGTTTGATCTATGTTTTTATGTACAATCAAATTAAACAATATATCCAGTTTATTAAATTTAAAGATCGCTTATATTTTTTTCTTCATTGAATTTTAGTCTCTTGTCTACAAAAGGTTGGTTTTCATCTTCATTTGTTGAATATTTTAGCTTTTATCATACTTTCATTTAGACTTGAGAGTTAACCATTTAATAGCGAACACTTTTATTAAACAACCTAAGTGACTTTCTTTAGAATTTTCTACCACTAACGCTGAGTACAATTATATTCAATCTAGCTATACTAATCCAGAGTTACAATTATTGTTTGTTATGAGCATGTTAATCTTCATAATCTGAAAAACTATTATCCTAAATATCATTTATAACTGAGTTTTGAGTCTCCATCCTAATAATTCTTTTGAGAGATCTGGACTTGATCCAAAAAATTACTAAGAAGCTACATCTACTTGAGTTTGCTATTTTGATTTAAATACAGACTAACAATTTTATTTTCAATTTCATCATTTTTTAACTTAAGAACCTTTAGAATTATGTTCCTTTTTCTTGTTAGAAAATTATCTAAATCATATATTAATAGTTCCATAATTTACAAAAAAGAGTGGTTAATTTAACTCTCGAATATAATTGTGCGAAGGGTTGAAAATCAATTCTTGATCCTTGAGTCTAATTAATATATTTCATTTGATTTATCTACTTAATTCAAACAAAACATTACCATTTATATAAATAAAATGCAAAGATATATTAATACCCTTTAAGGAATAATAATATAAAAATTATTTTTTGCCTATGTTTAACTAACTCATAACCACGTAATTAGATAATAGGGACATTTTTAAATTATATTATTTATATATATAAATAATTCTATTAAATATGTTGTAGATCAGCTGTTTTAATTAAAATTTAGAATTCATAATATAAGAAAAAAATTTGAATTTTGTATTAATCTATAAATTTGATGAATAATTAAATAATGAATTAAATTTCATAATCTTAATAGAGTTAGGAAATTAAATGTAATGATCATCCTGATAAACCTGCGCTTTTCTGGTGTAAATCAAATAATTGCAAAGAGAATCGAATTTTCTGCCTCAATTGTTAAAAGTAGAAAAAGCATGGTTAAAATTATGATCAAGATATCCAAAGTATTCAAGAATTACATTAATTTTTAATTGACTAATCAAAATATTCTAAAGTTCTAGTTTCTGAATGTCAACTTTAATTATAACTAACACTTAAATCATATGATAAGTTGATTTCAGGTTTATCATACAAGTTCTGTGGAATAGAAGAAAAAACTAATTAATTTGAAACTTATTAAATATACTAAGCTCTTGATTCTATGGTTTAATTTGATGAATTTAAGAATCATTTAACAAATAATATTTTGGGATTCCTGTAGAAATTTTAAAAAATCTTGGATGATCTTTTTGTTTAATTAGAATTACATCTCATTAAATATAAGATCACTGATTAATAGCTTAAATTAAATAAAGAAGAATATCAAAAAGGTATTGATTAATATTAATCCTCTTTTAGGTATCACTTTAAATGCCAAAAATAAAAAAAATGAAGCAATTCAAATATTTGATAGATTATTATTAACTGAACCCTATAATATAGAAATAATGTACTAAAAAGGTTAATAATATTAATAATTTTAAGCAAATTCATTAAATGAATTGAAAAAGGTAACAGATGCATTATAGATACACAATTATATACTTACAATTAATCCATAATATGAAATCTCATTTTTGACAATGGGTATTAAATGATTATAATATTTAGGTAAAATCTTAAATAAATATTAGTAACAATTAAAGGTTAAGAAATCAAAAGTCTTATTATTAAGCTTAATAGTAATACGAAAAATGTGTTTAATTAAACATTAATAATTAAGAAGCCTAATTTGGAATAGGTTCTATTTGATTATATATATTAAGGAGAATGTTTAAGAGAGACTTATTAATATAATCAGGCTCTATAATACTATCAAAAAGCTATTGAAATAGATTCATCCAATAAAGACTATTTCTATTATTAAGGTAAAAGTTAAACTTTAAACTATTTAGGAGATTGTTTAAGGTCCTTAAAAAGATTTCAAGAAGCTATTAATACTTATGATAAAGTTTTAATTAAAGATCCTAATCATGCAGAATCTATGGCAGGAAAAGGTATAAAATATAAATTAAAAATTTAAGGAATATGTCTAATCTTTTTAAAAAGGATTGATGAAGCAAACATATTAATAACAAAATCACTAGATTTAAAAAATAATTGTCTTTTAGGGTTATGTGGATATGGTATAGTATTAGATGAAAATGTTAGGAATTTATTTATTTTCAATTAATTAAAAAAAAGAAGCTATATACTATTTTGATAAAGCATTAGCAATAGACCCGTTTCATCTGAATTCATTGTATGGAAAAAGTAATTGAACTATAAGATATAAAAGGTGGATGCTTAAGAATAATGAATTAATATGAATAAGCACTTCTGTAATATGATATAGTTTTGGCTATAGATTCATAGCATGTCAATTCATTGTATGGAAAAAGTAATTGAATTCAATTAGTAAAAGGTGAATGCCTAAAAATGATGAAAAAATATGAAGAAGCATTATAATGGATTGAAAAAGCTTTAGCTGTTGATTCATAGCATGTGAATTCATTATAAGGAAAAGGTAAATTGGCTTATAGTTATATTATTAAGGAGGATGTCTAAAAAAGATGAATAAATTTCAAGAAGCACTAGAATGTTATGATAAAGCTTTGATATTAGATCCATAGCATTTTTATTCATTGTATGGAAAAAGTAAATGAGTACAATTAGTAAAAGGTGAATGCCTATTAATGATGAAATAATTTGAAGAATCAATAGAATGGATAGAAAAAGCTTTGGCCATACATCCATAACATGTTAATTCATTGTTATTGAAAGGTATATTGATATATAATGAATAAAAGGTTAATGCTTAAGATTGATGAATAAATCAGAAGAAGCTCTAAAATGGTATGAAAAAGCTTTGGCATTGCACCCAAACGATGTGAATTCATTAAACGGAAAAG